CCACGTCGTTATCGCTCTCTTCGTTCTCTCCCCGTCTATTTTCGGCTTCCTTTTCCACTTGTGATGGAACCTCCATCTCTTCATTTTCCTCTCGTGCGGGAAGGACGACGGTGAGTTGCGGCGCTGGTTGTTCCTTCGTCGGGAACTTGTCTTCGTCGAAGACCACGTCCCGAGACGTGACGACGCGCCTTTCACCTAAGTCTCACACTCGCCACGCACGCTCGTTCGCGCAATTCCCAAGTAGATTGCCGCACGAGCTTTCAATTGCAAACTTGTGGCAAAGGGGATCCGGTAAATGGTAGTAGCAAAGGCATTCAAAGGTGCGTAGGCGGGATAGGATCGGCTTCATTCCGGTCCATGCTTCGAACGGAGTCGTTCCCGACAGCACCTTCGTCGGCAAACTGCGAATCCACGCCGCCAACGAACTCGCCTCACCCCACCACTCGCTCCCAAGCTTGGAGTGTTGAAGAAGTGAACGAACCGCTTCCGCCAACGTGCGATTAAGCCACTCTGCCACTCCATTTTGTTGGGGTGTGTAGGGTGTTGTGACATCGTGCTTGATGCCCTTGCCCTTCATCCATTTCTCAAGCTCCGCGCTCACGAATTCGCCGCCACCGTTGGTTGATCCGCTTCTTGTCGTCGTCGCAAACTTTAAGCACTCACTCTTGAATCGCCTTGGTCACATCTCCCTTAGCCTTCAAGAGTCGGGTCCAACACATCCGCGTCGCGTCGTCGAGCATCGCCATGAGAAACCGCGCTCCTCCCTTTGATGCATGCCGGATCGGTCCACACACGTCCATGTGAACAAGCGCAAGCGGGTCCTTAGCGAGGGGTGACGTTCGGCTACCAAATGGCTTGCGAGCCATTTTTCCTTCGACTCACGCCGTGCACACGCCCTTCTCGTCGTCGCCGGCAATCACGTCGACTCCCTTCGCAAGTCCTTTGTTGGCCAACTCCTTGACCGAGTCGTAGTTGGCGTGCGCAAGCGGATTATGCCACGCCTTAAGAGTCGCCTTGGAGCCTTGCGCTACGTTGGATGAAGCCACTTTCGGGTGCGTCTTGAGTTGGTAGAGTTCTCCGTGAGTATTGAGCGAGATATAGGCGTTTATGCGATAGGTATTGTTCTTGGAACAGAGAATAGGAGCTCTCTGGATTTTGTAGTCGAGTGTATCACATACAAAGTGATTCAGGTTTTCAGTATGAAACATGCAAACAAAGCAACTAGTTTTATAGCATGCAATCAACATCGAACCGCGTTCGTAACATCGCATCGCTACACTCTCGAATGTTTGCGTAACATTTCGAAGGGGTGAAATTCGACATTCGAATTTCACCAAATCGAATTCTCCTTTAGTCTCGATTCTTCTTGTGCTGCCATGTGGCACCGAAGTGAATTTCTTCTGAAGTCAACCAGCACTTTCACGAAACATGCAGTGAAGTCAATCGGAAGAAACACTTGCAAAGCACCGTTCGGTGGTTGGGGGCAAACATTGCCTCACGCAACCTCCAATATTTGCGAGAGTACTGAGCCAGCTAGCTCGCGATGTACGAGAGGTCTGGTCTGCAGGTCACTGAAGCAAAGAGCAAACATCCTAGCTGCTTCTGGTAGGTGTGAAGACCTTCAGGGGATATGGCTTTGTTGTCAGGTTTGTAGTTCGGTCTGGGTGTGCGGTAAGGAGTGGAGAGTGGTGCAGGGGAGATGTTGAAGCGCTTCTCAAGTGTTTCGGCGTACGTAACAGCTGAGAGATGAATGGCCTCTTGCGCGTAGGTGATAATAAGGCCCATGAGCTGCTTCACCTCATAATCTGGCCGAGAGGCAAGTACCTCGCAGCAGCGATGGGAAGAAGGATTCTGACGAAGGTATGATAGTTGACCTGCGCGAAGGTCTGATCGAAGTCGATGCAGTGCCTCTGATCATAGCCGCGTAAGACCTATCGCGCTTTGAAGCGCTCGATTATCCCGTCAGCTGCGGTCTTCACACGGAAGACCCACTTCCCCGAAAGCACCCTCCTTCCCTTGATTGCTGCATGGTCGACGAGCACCTAGGTGTCGCGCGACTCTAGGGCCTTAATTTATGCGTCCATGGCTTCGCGCCATTCTTTGTTGTGAGGACCCGACATCGCTTGCCGTGGGTTCTTTGGCTCGATGATGCTCGGAGCTGTGGAGGTGGCGGTGTGCACGCCCAACCGTTGCAGCGCAGAGACGTGCTGTCGTGGCGGTGCTGCAGAATGACTTCCTATACGTCGTCATCGTCGCTCTCTGGTTCATGTGGAGAAGGCTGCGCGGGATCCCTGCTGCTTCTTCCTGCGGGTCCCGGGGGCGAGTCGTCGTCATCGTCGTCGCCATCGTCCGCGATGTCAGGGAACTTGCTGACGTTGTCCTGCTATAGGATGGCGGCAGTGGCTTCATCTTTGGGGGTTGCGTTGATGTGCCCATTATTCGCGTAGACTCCTGTTTGTGCCTGCCTGCTCGCCGCGCGGTACTAATCGATATTAAGTCGCCCGTAAATTATAACGTCGCGCGCATTTGCAATCTTGTTGATGAGTAGGTGTAGGATTAGCCATGCTTTGTATTCGTAATTGATGCCCACATGAATGCCACATCGCGCACGGCTTGTGAACTTCCTGATGGTTGAGGTAGGTGGGTGATACTGCACCATGCACCCCCATACGCGGAACATGCAGGTCTCGCCATTCTTGCCCGTCCATCTCACATGCGGCGACAGGTTCCCCGTGATGGCCGTGGTCGAGAGGAGGTTGTGGACGCACACGGCGCAGTGCATCGCATATGACCAGTAGATGGCGGAGAGCTTTGACTTCTTGAGTAGCGCGCACACCTTCGCCATGAGGGTGCGATTGGTGCGTTCGGTGACGCCCTGCTGCGGATGCGCGTAGGGGAGGGAGACGTGGTGCGAGATCCCATTTTGCGCCATGTAGTCCTGCACAAGATTTTAATTATAATGGTATGATAGAATCAACCATGTTCGCCACCAACCGCTCACTATTCATTGTTCAACTCGAAACATTTGGTATCGTGTAGGTTCCGTGTTTTACCATGATAAAAGTTATCCTGTATATTACAATTTCGCATGTCAAATGTTTGGTTTTGACCATTCCCCATTATTTATTTTACACATTAGAGAGTGACTTTCATATAAGATTACTCTCATTTGGTGCTAGTGATAAGTGAGACTTGTATACTTCAGTAGATGAAGCGTATAGAAGCCACACAAATGATTGATGGTTGGGTTGGGGGAGTTGGGGCTTGTGTTGGCGTAGCTACTGTGTGGTGGTGTACGGCAGGCGAACTGTTCAACCATTGGATCCATCCCGCAACGGTTTGGCAATTTATTGCCACATTCAGGACCCTTCACCAACGACAATCAGCCGTATCTATGATTCGCCCAGCCTTACAGTTGCTCACGTGGGAGGGGGACTGATGCGTTCCTTGTGGCCATATGGTTACCCTAAACTTTTGCTGAAAGATGTATTCCGGGTGTAATGTATCCCTTGGTTATGTATTGGTGCTTAGTTTTGTATTGGTGCTTGGTTTGTTCTATTATTCTTCAGGTACCCCGGTTTCCCGCCACAATCTGGGTAGCGTTTCTTTCACACGTGAGATGATTTCACGCTCAGTGGTCGTCAGCACATATACACAAGGGGATCCCCCGGAATATTTATGTAAATTTTGCAAACAAACCAGCTACGTATGCCACGAAACCGCCCAGGCAAAAGCTACAAGCACGCACAAGTGGTTTGATTGGACGCCCTTGAATCCGAGCCTGCAAATACACCAAATGTGGCTCGGCGGCACTTGTGCTGCAAGAACCTTGCTCACCCAAGCCCGAACAGCCAGTGGCTTGGCTTGCGTCTGAAATTTCAGCGGTCAGGGTGATTTTGTATGGTTGGTTATGTAAAACGTGCTCGGACTAACAAAATCCTGCGAGAAATTTATTTTGAGCAAACATTTGTGTTCACGACCTTCAAGGACTGCGGGGCCTGGTTTGATGGGACGCAAAGGTGCTGCGAAGGGAACCACACCAGCATTCTATCGAACCTCTCCATCACCTCTCAGTGAGAATCAAACCACATCGAAACTGTGCAGTCGGAACGAATCAGAACCAGCACCCGATACAGTGCACTACAGTAATTCCGCTCCGCCCTACCTCCGCCTTCAACCAACTGCCCTTGGCGCATGCGCGCAAGGCGCCTTCTGCGCGTGCAGCTGAAAGCTGCGCCAACCTTCCTTCCGCCTCCCCCAACCAACCTAACCTAACCTGGCAACCTAGACACTTCCTAACAGCACCTAATTTCCCGATACCGTCGCGCAAGCGCCGCTCCTTTCTCATACTTGGTCCGATCGGCACTCCCTATGTTCACTGATCATTCTCCTTCGCGTAGTTGTTCCGGCGTGGGAACCAAGGCAGCTGCCGCCATCTAGCCGTTTCACTTGCAGCATTAGGAACGATACTTCCAAAAGGTCTAGTATGTCAAGTTCAGTCTCGAAGAATGCTCCAGCTCCTATGCACCTCTAACTTATGTTGTACATAGCAAATGCCTCCCGTTTCAAGCACGCCTGTATATCACTAGCTTCGACCCTTTCGTTTCGATTTTATTCTCGCCCATCTCTCGAGAGAATCTCCTCTGATATTCCCTATCGAAGGTTACTAACGACGAGGCTTTGTGTCTAACCCTAGCTCGTTAACACCTCAGGACAGTCAAATTTTTGGGTTGACTCAAAATTAGGTCGACCAGCCGCGAATTACGAGTCGTGAAATCCTTTTCCCCGACGGAGACTTGCCTGTACAGTTCCCTCCATTCCTCTAGCAGGTGTTTATCTCCAGCCGCGGCAGTGTCGATTCATACACGCTCATTGCCCGGCCGCGGCCATCACTTAAGTTCCTGGTCTTCTTCTAGGCTGATCTCCAGTTCTCCTCCTATTCCTCTCCTCGAAGCGCGTCAGAAGAGCAGCTCCTAACAGAACGGCCGCTGCGAGGCGCCATGAACAGGTACGTGGCTTACCGACTTTATTTCCTTCTTCCCTATCCGTTTCTGGGCGTGCTCGCTCTGTTAGATCTGCCTGTTTTGTTCCGAGCGGTGGTGATTGGACAGCAGGTAGAGACAGGTGGAAAGACGTCTCGGCGACAGGAGCGGTAGGACACGTGGAGAAGCGGTAGGACACGTGGAGAAGCGGTAGTGTACGAGGTTTGCGCCAGGCAGGGGTGTTCGGAAACGGTAGGGGTGGATGGCAACGACAGGGTTTGATGGAATCGATAAGGTCGATGGAAACGTTAGGGTTAGACAAAAGGGAAAAGAGTGAATGATTCTGTTGCGCGGATTGCCTCAATGCGCTGCGCCAAGTAGGGACGGAGACGGTTAGGGTGGACGGGGAAGGAGATGGTGGACGGAGGGACGGATACGGTTAGGTTGGACGGGCGTTAGGGTGGACGGAAAGCGTTAGGGTGGACGGAGAGCGTTAGAGTGGGCGGAGAGCGTTAGGGTGGACGGAGCGTTAGGGTGGACGGAGAGCGTTAGGGTGGACGGAGAACGTTAGGGTGGACGGAGCGTTAGGGTGGACGGAGAGCGTTAGGGTGGACGGAGCGTTAGGGTGGACGTAGAGCGTTCGGATGGACGGAGATCGTTAGGGTGGACGGAGAGAGTTAGGGTGGACGGAGAGCGTTAGGGTGGACGGAGAGCGTTAGGGTGGACGGAGAGCGTTAGGGTGGACGGAGAGCGTTCGGATGGACGGAGAGCGTTAGGGTGGACGGAGAGCGTTCGGATGGACGGAGACGGCAGGGATGGCTGGCGAGAGTTAGGGTGGACGGATGCGGTGGAAGTGAAGAGTACCATCCGTACCACTGCTATCTAGCGCAACTCTCAAGGAAACTCGATCGGTTTCTATTCATACGCGTCGCTGCTTCCCTTACAAGCTCGTCTTTCCCACTCGCCACAAACCTTTTCTTAAGGCGCCTCCACGGATACTTAACAAGCTGATCGCTTATCGATTACAAGAGAAGTCGATGGGTTGGAACCGCGCGGGTTGCTGCGGTTCGAACGCATCGCCTTCTCCGCGCATGCATGTCGCGTTCGGCACGCGGGGTCCTCGAAGTCGCGTGATTGTCGTAGAGCCCGCGTCGCGTCACTTGCGTCACCTTCTCGACGTATTATGAGACCTCTCAAAGCACGTCTTAACAGCAGCTTAAAACACGTATTAGAAAGCGTCCGACAACCCCATCAAATCGTGGAGTGCTCGTCGAAGCGCTAGCTCCCTCTGCGTCGTTGGGGAAACAGAATATTGGACGCTTTTCGTTCGCTGGGGGACGGAGTGTTGTGGTGCACTGTACGTGTGAGAAAGTACAGTGTAATAATCATTTCAAAAAAAGTGTATGCGTGTACAAACATGTTCGTCGTGCCTTGTATTCGCGCAGGTACAAGGTGATGTAGCAGCTCGGGACGGGACGGCACTTACGGGACCGTGTGGAAGGCTCTTCACCCATACCTTGTCGTATTCAGCACACCCCACCCCTCTTCCCCCTTCCCGTTCTCCTCTTCCCCGTCTCCGCGCGCAGGTACAAGGTGATGAAACAGCTGGGGGACGGCACTTACGGAACCGTGTGGAAAGCGCTTAATTTGCACACGAACGAAATAGTGAGTGTGTAGTATTGGGACGGAGAGGGTATAGGATTGCAATTCGACTTGAACAATGGTTACCTTCTTCTGGAAGGCGCTTAACTTGCGCAAGAACGAAGTGTAGACAGCCGAGGTTGTGAGTCTATACTACAGTAATGAAATTGTTGTACACCGCTTACCCCATTTCATGTCTGATTGACCCCTTCATACCATCTCCAACACCTCTCCCGCCCCCTCTTTCCCCCCCTCTCCCCATCTCCAGGTGGCGGTGAAAAAGATGAAGCGCAAGTTCTACTCGTGGGACGAGTGCATGAGCCTGCGAGAGGTCAAGGTAGGCAGGAGGGGAAAAGGATGGGGGGGGGGGGGGGGGCGGGAAGGAGGGGAAAGGGGGGAGGGATTGGGTGAAAGGCGGGAAGGAAGGGGACGAGTGCATGAGCCTGCGAGAGGTCAAGGTAGGCAGGAGGGGAAAAGGATGGGGGGGGGCGGGAAGGAGGGGAAAGGGATTGGGTGAAAGGCGGGAAGGAAGGGGACGGGTGCATGAGCCTGCGAGAGGTCAAGGTGGGTAGGAGGGGAAGGGGGCAGGAGCGGAAGGAATGGGGTAGTGGGGGGAAAGGAGTGGGGGATAGTTGGGAAAGTGTTGGACGAGTGGGTGAGCCTGTGAGAGGTCAAGGTGGGCAGAGGGAAGAGGTAAGATGAGGGAAGGGGTGAAATCAGGCACATGGGTAAGCTGGGACAGGTAAGTAGAGGGGGGGTCGGGGATTTTTGGGGAATCTGATGCGAGGAAAGGAGAGGCCGATACACCTTCTGAGGATTCTCACAAACTGTATGTGTAACCCTTCACCTCCTCCCACTCCTTCACTCATTCGTAGTCCCTGCGCCAGCTGAACCACCCCAAATTTGCGCGACTTCCCCTTCTTCCCACTCTTCGCCCCAACACCAGTCGCTGCGCAAGCTGAACCACCCCAACATAGTGCGACTGAAGGAGACTAAAATGCTCCTCCGCGTCCCTTTCCCCCCCTCCCACCCTCTCTTCTTACCCCCCTAATCTTCACCTCAGTCGCTGCGCAAGCTGAACCACCCCAACATAGTGCGGCTGAAGGAGGTGATCCGAGAAAACAACGAGCTCTTCTTTATATTCGAGTTCATGGTGAGGGAGTGAGCGGGGGGGAGGGGTTGAGGGGAGGGGGCGGGGGGATGAATGAATGAGGAGTGAAGGAGTGGGCTTGCATGACTTATAGTGCGGCTGAAGGAGGTGATCCGGGAGAACAACGAGCTCTTCTTCATATTCGAGTTCATGGTGAGGCAGTGAGCGGGGGGGGGAGGGTTGGAAGGGTGAAGGGAGGACGGGGGGATGAATGAATGAGGAGTGGAAGGAGCGGGCTTGAAGCATGCGCAAGACAAGTAGCTGAACCAACCACCCCAACATAGTGCGGCTTAAGGAGGTGATCCGAGAAAACAACGAGCTTTTCTTCATATTCGAGTTCATGGTGAGGCATAGGGGTGGTGGTGGGGGAAAGAGTGTGTGTGTGTGTGTGTGTGTGTGTGTGTGTGTGTGTGTGTGTGTGTGCACGCCCACATGCGAGGGCAGGAGTGCAACCTGTACCATCTGATGAAGGACAGAGAGACCTACTGTCTACCCACTGTCCTCTGAGCACAGTGCCTCACAACAACTCCCTTCCTCCTCTCCTCTCTTCTCCTGTGTCCTCTCTCTCCCTTTCTCACTACGTCTGGCTGTGACGGCAGGAGTGCAACCTGTACCATCTGATGAAGGACAGAGAGACCTACTTTCAAGAATCCACCATTCGAAACTGGATGTACCAGGTAAGCCGGCCAGGCGCGTTGATTTCTGGGTTGACTTGAAGTCAACTGGGCTATACTCGTACAACACAAGCACTCATGAGTTGACAGTTGACTGCACGCAGAGAGACTCGCTGACGTTCTGTTCTGTTCTGCCTCGTCCTTCTCCCTGTCCTGTCCCCCCCCGCCAGGTGCTACTAGGCCTGGCGCACATGCACAAGCACGGCTACTTCCACCGCGACCTCAAGCCAGGTGGGTGGTTGAGAGGGGTTGAGGCAGGTTGGGGGGTTGAGGCAGGTGGGGGGTTGAGGCAGGTGGGGGGTTGAGGCATGTGGGGGGGGGAGGCAGGTGGGGGAGGCAGGTGGGAGAGGCAGGTGGGGGGAGGCAGATGGGGGGAGGCAGATGGATGAGGGTGGGTCTGATTTCCGCCTGACAAGAGAGATCAAGTCCCGGCCTCCCTTCACATAGTCTGTTCCCTGCCATCGCATGTGTGCCAGTCATCCGCCCGTCCATGTGTTACCTGCTTCCTTCCCATCCATGCGTGTCCAGAGAACCTGCTAGTGACCAAGGACCTGATTAAAGTTGCGGATTTCGGCCTGGCAAGGGAGATCAAGTCGCGGCCTCCTTTCACAGACTACGTGTCTACCCGATGGTGGGTGGTGTGGGTTTGGGCTGGTGGTGGTGGTTAGGGGTTAGGTTGGTGGGTTGAGCGCGGGTGGGTGTTGTGGGGATGGGTTGGTGGGGGAAAAGGGGTCATTGTGGGATGCATTGTGAGGAAGGGAGATCAAGTCCCGGCCTCCCTTCACAGACCATGTGTCCACCCGATGGTGGGTTGGCGGTGGGGGCGGGCTGGTGGTGCTGTGTGGTTTGGGGGGTGGGTGGTGTGAGGATGCGGGGTTTGGGGGTTCAATGATGTGGGGTTGGGTGTGTGGGTGGTGTGTGTGAGTGGGTGAGTGCTGGCCTGGCAAGAGAGATCAAGTCCCGGCCTCCCTTCACAGACCATGTGTCCACCCGATGGTGTGTGGTGTGGGTGGTGTGGTGTGGGTGGTGTGGTGTGGGAATGGGTTGGCAGGTTCGTGGGTGGGTAGTTAGGTGAGTGGTGTGAGGGTGGTTGGGGTTGGGCGCATGGGTCTTGTCACCTTTGTATTTCTTTCGAAAACCCTCCTCCCCGCTCCCTTTACCCCTCTCCCCTCCTGCCCCCCCCTCCCGCCCTCCCATCCCTTCCCCCCTCCTCCTTGTCGTTCCCAACTCCCCTTCTGTGTTTCTTTGCCTCTTCCGCACGTATTTCGTTTTCCTTCCACCCTCCCGTTTCCGCTCGTTCTCTCATTCTGCTCTCATCCTCCTTCCGTCCTCCTCTCATCCTCCCTCTCTTCCCTTCCATCCCGCCCACTCCCTCTCATGCTCCCTCCCATCCTCCCTCTCTCGTTCTCCTCTCATCGTCTTTCTCACTTTCCCTCTCAGCATCCCTCTCGTTTTCCCTCTTGTGTGCTCTGTCATGTCACCTCAGGTATCGAGCACCAGAGGTGTTACTTCAGTCAACAGTTTACAACGCCCCAATAGGTGTGCTGCAGCTTGCTTTAGTAGCTTGCGTTGGTAGCTAAGGGTGCGGTTTGCTGTGGTAGATTGCTTTGATAGCTTGCTTCATTAACTTTCTTTAATAGCTTGCATTGCCAATTGTTTGGGATTTGCTGCCTGAATACGTGCAGTCTCATCATACCACTTAATATTCTGTAATGCTTGATCTCCCTTCCCCACTCCCCTACCCCTCCCCTCTCCTCCCCTCCCCTCCCCTCCCACACTCCCTCCCCTTCCTGCCCCTCCCCCCCTCCCCCTCCCCCATACCTCTTGGCCCGCTCTCCACCCTCCCCCTTCCCCTGTACCCATGCAGACATGTGGGCAATAGGAGCAATCATGGCAGAGCTCTTCACACTCGAACCACTCTTCCCCGGGGCAAGGTAATTGCTCCTAGCAATTAATCCGTAATGCTTTGTATTCCCCTCCCCGAACCCCCCGTTGTCATGGAAGACTTGACAACTCCACTCCACTTCCCTACGCGTGTTCTCCTCTCCCCTTCCCTTCCACACACGCCAGTGAGATCGATGAGATTCTCAAGATATGCGCTGTCATCGGTACACCAACCCCCAGGACATGGCCGATTTGACACAATTGCACTGACTTCCCTACATGCGTGTTCCTCTCCCTTCCCTTCTTCTCCCTTCCCTTCCACCCACCAGTGAGATCGATGAGATTCTCAAGATCTGCGCTGTCATCGGCACGCCCACCCCCAGGACGTGGCCCCAGGGCCTCCGTCTCGCAGCTTCCATGAACTTTCGCTTCCCTGAGGTGTGCTTGCTTCCCACCTAGCCCTGCATGCTGTCGTGCCCATGCCATGCCATGCCATGCCATGCCATGCCATGCCATGTCGTGATGTGCCATGCCATGCCATGCCATGCCATGCCATGTCGTGATGTGCCATGCCATGCCATGCCATGCCATGTCGTGATGTGCCACGCCATGCCATGCCATGCCATGTCGTGATGTGCCATGCCATGCCATGCCATGCCATGTCGTGATGTGCCATGCCATGCCATGCCATGCCATGTCGTGATGTGCCATGCCATGCCATGTCGTGATGTGCCATGCCATGCCATGCCATGCCATGTCGGCATGCCATGCCATGCCATGCCATGCCATGCCATGTCGTGATGTGCCATGCCATGCCATGCCATGCCATGCCATGCCATGCCATACCATGCCATGCCATGCCATGCCATGCCATGCCATGTCGTGATGTGCCATGCCGCGCTATGCCATGCCATGCCATGCCATGCCATGCCATGTCGTGATGTGCCATGCCGCGCTATGCCATGCCATGCCATGCCATGTCATGATTTGCCATGCCGCGCTATGCCATGCCATGCCATGTCATGATTTGCCATGCCGCGCTGTGCCATGCCATGCCATGCCATGCCATGCCATGCCATGTCATGATTTGCCATGCCGCGCTGTGCCATGCCATGCCATGCCATGCCATGCCATGCCATGCCATGCCATGCCATGCCATGCCGTGACTGCCTTCTGCTCCTAGGAGCCCTGCCACGTGCCACAACACTCCATCCCCACTCTTACCCCCTTCTCCTTCCCCTCATTTTCCTCCCGTCCTCTTTTCTTCCCCTTTCCCTTTCTCCCCTTTCTCTTCCCCCCCCTCCCCCTCTCTCCCCTCCCCCCCCTTCAGTACTCGCCCATCCCGCTCGCTCAAATCATGCCCATGGCATCAGACGACGAGGCGGTCAACCTGGTGTCTGCTCTCTGCTCCTGGGACCCCACCAACTCTCATGCTCATCCCCCACTCTTCCTTCCCCCCCTCCAACTCCCACCCACAACCCCCCACCCATCTCCCCGTATTTCTCCCTCTGCAGTACTCGCCCATCCCGCTCGCTCAAATCATGCCCATGGCATCAGACGAGGCAGTCGACCTGGTCACTGCTCTCTGCTCTTGGGACCCCGCCAGACGCCCCTCCGCTGCCCAGGCGCTGCAACACCCTTTCTTCCTGGTGAGAGCATGACTGTGGCAGTACGCATGTGTAATCATGGGTTTGAAGGGGATTCAGGGAGGGGCATATAGTGTGATAGAGAGGAGCAGTCGACCTGGTCACGGCTCTCTGCTCCTGGGACCCTGCCAGGCGCCCCACAGCTGCTTAGGCGCTGCAGCACCCCTTTTTTCCTGGTGAGAGGCCGTGGCCGTGTGTGTGTGAGTGTGTGTGTGTGTGTGTGTGTGTGTGTGTGTGTGTGTGTGTGTGTGTGTGTGTGTGTGTGTGTCCATGGGTTCGATGGGGATTCACAAGGCAGGATCTAGTGTAGTGTGATGGGGAGGAGCAGTCGACCTGGTGACCGCTCTCTGTTCCTGGGACCCCGCAAAGCGCCCCTCTGCTTTGAGGTGTGTTTTGAGGCGCCTCAAAACACACCTCAATGCGGGAGGAGCAGTCGACCTGGTGACCGCTCTCTGTTCCTGGGTCCCCGCAAGGCGCCCCTCTGCTGCGCAGTCGCTGCAGCACCCCTTCTTCCTGGTGAGAGAAACCTTGGCAGGCAGTGGGTGTGTGGGGCGGGTAGGATTTATAAGGGGGAATGAAAACGGGTAAGGAGTGGTGGGGAGGAAGGTTGATATAGGCAAGCAGTCAGCCGCGTGACTGCCCATTGCTGGCCACTGACGCCCTGTGTTCTCTCCCCCCTCTTCTCTTTCCTGCTGCCCCTTCTCTTCCCCCCCTCCTCCCGAGCAGAAGGGAGTGACCCTCCCCTGCACACCCAAGAAGCCCAAGTCCTCCTCCTCTTCCTCCACAACAACCGGTCCCGTCGTCCCCATCACCACGCCCTCCCAGCTCGCGGCCGCCTCCCACGCTGCCCTCTCCGGCTCTCTCGGTCTCCCCGACCCAGGGCAAACCTTCCTGCAGCCTGTGCCGCGTGCTGTTGCCTCATCGCTCTCCTCTTTCTCTTCCCTCTTCTCCCTTCTCTTCTCCCCCCCCCCCCCTCCCGAGCAGAAGGGAGTGACGCTCCCCTACACACCCAAGAAGCCCAAGTCCTCCTCTTCTTCCGCCGCCACAACCGGTCCCGTCGTCCCCATCACCACGCCGTCCCAACTCGCGGCCGCCTCCCACGCTGCCCTCTCCGGCTCTCTCGGTCTCCCCGACCCAGGGCAAACCTTCCTGCAGCCTGTGCCGCGTGCTGTTGCCTCATCGCTCTCCTCTTTCTCTTCCCTCTTCTCCCTTCTCTTCTCCCCCCCCCCCCCTCCCGAGCAGAAGGGAGTGACGCTCCCCTACACACCCAAGAAGCCCAAGTCCTCCTCTTCTTCCGCCGCCACAACCGGTCCCGTCGTCCCCATCACCACGCCGTCCCAACTCGCGGCCGCCTCCCACGCTGCCCTCTCCGGCTCTCTCAGTCTCCCCGACCTGGGGCAAACCCTCCTGCAGCCTGTGCCGCGTGCTGTTGCCTCATCGCTCTACGCTTTCTCTTCCCTCTTCTCCCTTCTCTTCTCTCCCCCCCCCCCCCCTCCCGAGCAGAAGGGAGTGACGCTCCCCTACACACCCAAGAAGCCCAAGTCCTCCTCTTCTTCCGCCGCCACCACCGGTCCCGTCGTCCCCATCACCACGCCCTCTCAGCTCGCCGCTGCCTCCCACGCTGCCCTCTCCGGCTCGCTCGGTCTCCCCGACCCGGGGCAAACCTTCCTGCAGCCTATGCCACGTGCTGTTGCCTCTCCCCTGCATGGAGCAGGAGCAGGACCAGGGGCGGGACTGGGGCAGGGGCAAGGTCAAGGGCAAGGGCAGGGGTATGTGACAGAGCAGCAGCAGCAGCAGCAACAGGTTCCAGTTCCGAAGCTGTACCAGACACAGCCGCAGCAACTGCAACAGCAGCAGCAACAGCAACAGCAGCAGCAACTTCAGCAGCAGCAGCAGCAGCAGTACCAGCAGCAACCCCAGCAACCCCAGCAACCCCAGCAGCATCTGTTGAGTCCCACGACTCAGCTGAGCCCGAGAATACAGCAGAGCCCTCTGCAGGACGGCGAACCACTGAGCCCTCACATGCTCCCCAGCCCCCTCCACGCCCCCCTCTCCCAGACACAGGCGCAGGGGCAGGGAATGGGAATAGGGCAGGGGGGAGGGCAGGGGCAGAGGCAGGGCGGGCAGGTGCGGAAATGGCACCAGCAGGGGCAGAAAACGGGGGGGCAGTTGCAGCAGCCGCTGCGGCAGCCAGTGCAGCAGATGGGGGGACAGATGGGGCCCGGGCCCGGGCAGGGGCAGGGGCAGATGGTGCAAGGCGGAGGGTTAGCAATGGGGGGATATGGGTTGGGAGGGCAAGGAGGAGGGGGCTATGGGCCGGGAGGGCAAGGATTAGGGGGTGATTATGAGCAGGCAGGGAGTGTGGGTAACAGGGCAGGGGCGTACCAGCAAGGCTCGTTGTCTCCCCTCCACCTACAGTCACAATCATCACAATCACAGTCTCAGTTACAGTCACAAATGCAGGCACAGCTGCAAGCGCAGTTACAGGCGCAGTTGCAGTTACAGTCGCACCAGCCCCAGATGCAACCTCCCCCACGCTCCCCCCAACGCTCTACCTCCCAGAACCCACCCCGATCGCCTCTGCGCTCGCCCCTCCACTCCCCCATGCACTCCCCTGTGCACCCTTCCTTAGAAGGGACTGCTGTGAGGGCGCTACAAGCGCCTCAGGCTACCCAGCAGTCCCAGCAGGGACACTACCAGGGGCAGCAGCAGTATCAGGGGCAGCAATATCAGGGGCAGTACCCCCCCCAACAGCAGTACCAGCAGCAGCAACAGCAGTATCAGCAGCAACAGCAGCAGTATCAGCAGCAGTACCAGCAGCAAGAGCAGGGGTTTACAGAGCGCGCAGATGAGGGAGGAGCAGGGGGGGGGTACGCAGACGGAGGGGCAGACGGAACAGGAGCAGGCGGAGGGGGAGGGGGAGGAAAGTCGGAAAAGCGAGGGTTTTTCTCGCGAAAACTGGGCGGGTCGAAGAGTGTAGGCAGGAATAACCCTCCGGGTGATGCGAAGGGAGGGGGAGGCGGGGGAGGAGGAGGGGGAGGTGGGGGAGGTGGAGGAGGAGGAGGGGGGGTTAGCAAGCTTGCTTCATTGCAACGATACGGAAGCCAATTACTAGGTGGGCTACATTCCCGAGTTGACTTTTGAGTCAACCCAAAAGTCAACTAGGTGGGGGAGGAGGACGGGTTAGCAAGCTTGCTTCGTTGCAACGATACGGAAACCCCAATTGTTAGGTGGGCTGTCTATGCTCCAGTATGTTCCACTCCCTTGTTCAGTTGCCTCGAAGGCAATTACTAGGTGATACGCCTTGAGAAGCCTTGACCCACGTCGGGCCATCCAATGCATTCCATGCCATGCCATGCCATGCCATGTGCTGCCATTGCCTTATTTCACTCTCCTCCTTCTCTCTCCCCTCTCTCCTTACCCCAACCCCAACCCCATGTCTCTCCCTCCCTATGCCCTTATGTCCTTCCCTCCCCATGTGCTCTGTGCCCCATGCTCTCTCTGTGTCCCATGCTCTCTCTGTGTCCCATGCTCTCTCTCTGTATGCCAGGCATGGCCCGCCATTCCGCGTCTGCCTCTGTCAATTCATCAAATGCGATCGGCTCCATATCCACTAGATCCGTAAGAACACCATGCATCCATCAGCACTGCTGTGCATCCATCAGCACCGCTGTGCATCCATCCGCACCGCCGTGCGTCCATCAACACCTCTGTGCATCCATCAGCACTGCTGTGCATCCGTCAGCACTGCTGTGCATCCATCAGCTCTGCTGTGCATCCATCAACACCACTTTGCATCCATCAACACCACTGTGCATCCATCAGCACCGCTGTGCATCCATCAGCACCGCTGTGCATCCATCAGCACTGGTGTGCATCCATCAGCACTGCTGTGCATCCATCAGCACTGCTGTGCATCCATCAACACCTCCGTGCATCCTTCAGCACCGCTGTGCATCCATTCACTCTGAGTTTGCTTGCTAAGAAATCTCATGCCAGCTCTTCTCTCACTCTCCCAACCCCCTTCCCCTCTCCATCCTCGCACTTATGTATATCATTCAAACCCACACAACCCCTCCAAACCCCACACTACCCCTCCACACCTCACAACCCCTCTAAACCACCCACCACCCCTCCTTCCCCTCCCGTGTGCCTTCTGTTTCAGGACAAGTCAATATTATCAGCCAGCCAAAGCAACTCCTCCTACCTCCCCGCTCCCCCCCCCCCCTCCCCCTACCCCCCCCTCCCCCCCCCCCCTTCCCCCCCCAATCCTCCCCTAACCCCACCTAAACACCCTCACCCCCGTCTCCCCCCCCCCCCCCCCCCCACACCCCCTTTTTCCCTCCCCCGCTCCTTCTGTTTCAGGACAAGTCAGTCTCAGCCAGCCAAAGCAACTCTGCAGGAGCAGGTGAGCCGTTGAATCAGACTTTGCGTTGAATCAGACTTTGCGTTGAATCGAAACGCTAAGTGCGGTTCGCACAAGTTTCTTTCCTATATGTATTCGTTTAGCTACTATGCCATCTCGTATAATCCGTCTCACATCCGATCCACCTTATTCCCGCTTTTCACTAATTTCCAGCTTCAACTGCCCCTCCGGACCCCTCCCCGTCCCCCTCCCCGTCCCCCTCCCCGTCCCCCTCCCCGTCCCCGTCCCCGTCCCCGTCCCCCTCCCCCTCCCCCTCCCCCTCCCCCTCCCCCTCCCCCTCCCCCTCCCACCCCCCCTCCTCCTCTATCTGCCCTCCCCTCACACTTCAATTCCGCTTTTGCAATACCCTCTTCCAACTTTCGCTTTTAATGCACTGCCCTGCCCTGCCCTGCCCACTGCACTGCCCACTGCACTGCCCACTGCACTGCCCACTGCACTGCCCACTGCACTGCCCACTGCACTGCCCACTGCACTGCCCACTGCACTGCCCACTGCACTGCCCACTGCACTGCCCACTGCACTGCCCACTGCACTGCCCACTGCACTGCCCACTGCACTGCCCACTGCACTGCCCACTGCACTGCCCACTGCACTGCCCACTGCACTGCCCACTGCACTGCCCACTGCACTGCCCACTGCACTGCCCACTGCACTGCCCACTGCACTGCCCACTGCACTGCCCACTGCACTGCCCACTTTCCCATTCCCCCGTGTTTTGAGTCGACTCAAAACACAAGTCATGGCTCCTACATGGGCCGTGTTTTGAGTCGACTCAAAACACAAGTCATGGCTCCTACATGGGCCGTGTTTTGAGTCGACTCAAAACACAAGTCATGGCTCCTACATGGGCCGTGTTTTGAGTCGACTCAAAACACAAGTCATGGCTCCTACATGGGCCGTGTTTTGAGTCGACTCAAAACACAAGTCATGGCTCCTACATGGGCCGTGTTTTGAGTCGACTCAAAACACAAGTCATGGCTCCTACATGGGCCGTGTTTTGAGTCGACTCAAAACACAAGTCATGGCTCCTACATGGGCCGTGTTTTGAGTCGACTCAAAACACAAGTCATGGCTCCTACATGGGCCGTGTTTTGAGTCGACTCAAAACACAAGTCATGGCTCCTACATGGGCCGTGTTTTGAGTCGACTCAAAACACAAGTCATGGCTCCTACATGGGCCGTGTTTTGAGTCGACTCAAAACACAAGTCATGGCTCCTACATGGGCCGTGTTTTGAGTCGACTCAAAACACAAGTCATGGCTCCTACATGGGCCGTGTTTTGAGTCGACTCAAAACACAAGTCATGGCTCCTACATGGGCCGTGTTTTGAGTCGACTCAAAACACAAGTCATGGCTCCTACATGGGCCGTGTTTTGAGTCGACTCAAAACACAAGTCATGGCTCCTACATGGGCCGTGTTTTGAGTCGACTCAAAACACAAGTCATGGCTCCTACATGGGCCGTGTTTTGAGTCGACTCAAAACACAAGTCATGGCTCCTACATGGGCCGTGTTTTGAGTCGACTCAAAACACAAGTCATGGCTCCTACATGGGCCGTGTTTTGAGTCGACTCAAAACACAAGTCATGGCTCCTACATGGGCCGTGTTTTGAGTCGACTCAAAACACAAGTCATGGCTCCTACATGGGCCGTGTTTTGAGTCGACTCAAAACACAAGTCATGGCTCCTACATGGGCCGTGTTTTGAGTCGACTCAAAACACAAGTCATGGCTCCTACATGGGCCGTGTTTTGAGTCGACTCAAAACACAAGTCATGGCTCCTACATGGGCCGTGTTTTGAGTCGACTCAAAACACAAGTCATGGCTCCTACATGGGCCGTGTTTTGAGTCGAATCAAAACACAAGTCATGGCTCCTACATGGGCCGTGTTTTGAGTCGACTCAAAACACAAGTCATGGCTCCTACATGGGCCGTGTTTTGAGTCGACTCAAAACACAAGTCATGGCTCCTACATGGGCCGTGTTTTGAGTCGACTCAAAACACAAGTCATGGCTCCTACATGGGCCGTGTTTTGAGTCGACTCAAAACACAAGTCATGGCTCCTACATGGGCCGTGTTTTGAGTCGACTCAAAACACAAGTCATGGCTCCTACATGGGCCGTGTTTTGAGTCGAATCAAAACACAAGTCATGGCTCCTACATGGGCCGTGTTTTGAGTCGACTCAAAACACAAGTCATGGCTCCTACATGGGCCGTGTTTTGAGTCGACTCAAAACACAAGTCATGGCTCCTACATGGGCCGTGTTTTGAGTCGACTCAAAACACAAGTCATGGCTCCTACATGGGCCGTGTTTTGAGTCGACTCAAAACACAAGTCATGGCTCCTACATGGGCCGTGTTTTGAGTCGACTCAAAACACAAGTCATGGCTCCTACATGGGCCGTGTTTTGAGTCGACTCAAAACACAAGTCATGGCTCCTACATGGGCCGTGTTTTGAGTCGACTCAAAACACAAGTCATGGCTCCTACATGGGCCGTGTTTTGAGTCGACTCAAAACACAAGTCATGGCTCCTACATGGGCCGTGTTTTGAGTCGACTCAAAACACAAGTCATGGCTCCTACATGGGCCGTGTTTTGAGTCGACTCAAAACACAAGTCATGGCTCCTACATGGGCCGTGTTTTGAGTCGACTCAAAACACAAGTCATGGCTCCTACATGGGCCGTGTTTTGAGTCGACTCAAAACACAAGTCATGGCTCCTACATGGGCCGTGTTTTGAGTCGACTCAAAACACAAGTCATGGCTCCTACATGGGCCGTGTTTTGAGTCGACTCAAAACACAAGTCATGGCTCCTACATGGGCCGTGTTTTGAGTCGACTCAAAACACAAGTCATGGCTCCTACATGGGCCGTGTTTTGAGTCGACTCAAAACACAAGTCATGGCTCCTACATGGGCCGTGTTTTGAGTCGACTCAAAACACAAGTCATGGCTCCTACATGGGCCGTGTTTTGAGTCGACTCAAAACACAAGTCATGGCTCCTACATGGGCCGTGTTTTGAGTCGACTCAAAACACAAGTCATGGCTCCTACATGGGCCGTGTTTTGAGTCGACTCAAAACACAAGTCATGGCTCCTACATGGGCCGTGTTTTGAGTCGACTCAAAACACAAGTCATGGCTCCTACATGGGCCGTGTTTTGAGTCGACTCAAAACACAAGTCATGGCTCCTACATGGGCCGTGTTTTGAGTCGACTCAAAACACAAGTCATGGCTCCTACATGGGCCGTGTTTTGAGTCGACTCAAAACACAAGTCATGGCTCCTACATGGGCCGTGTTTTGAGTCGACTCAAAACACAAGTCATGGCTCCTACATGGGCCGTGTTTTGAGTCGACTCAAAACACAAGTCATGGCTCCTACATGGGCCGTGTTTTGAGTCGACTCAAAACACAAGTCATGGCTCCTACATGGGCCGTGTTTTGAGTCGACTCAAAACACAAGTCATGGCTCCTACATGGGCCGTGTTTTGAGTCGACTCAAAACACAAGTCATGGCTCCTACATGGGCCGTGTTTTGAGTCGACTCAAAACACAAGTCATGGCTCCTACATGGGCCGTGTTTTGAGTCGACTCAAAACACAAGTCATGGCTCCTACATGGGCCGTGTTTTGAGTCGACTCAAAACACAAGTCATGGCTCCTACATGGGCCGTGTTTTGAGTCGACTCAAAACACAAGTCATGGCTCCTACATGGGCCGTGTTTTGAGTCGACTCAAAACACAAGTCATGGCTCCTACATGGGCCGTGTTTTGAGTCGACTCAAAACACAAGTCATGGCTCCTACATGGGCCGTGTTTTGAGTCGACTCAAAACACAAGTCATGGCTCCTACATGGGCCGTGTTTTGAGTCGACTCAAAACACAAGTCATGGCTCCTACATGGGCCGTGTTTTGAGTCGACTCAAAACACAAGTCATGGCTCCTACATGGGCCGTGTTTTGAGTCGACTCAAAACACAAGTCATGGCTCCTACATGGGCCGTGTTTTGAGTCGACTCAAAACACAAGTCATGGCTCCTACATGGGCCGTGTTTTGAGTCGACTCAAAACACAAGTCATGGCTCCTACATGGGCCGTGTTTTGAGTCGACTCAAAACACAAGTCATGGCTCCTACATGGGCCGTGTTTTGAGTCGACTCAAAACACAAGTCATGGCTCCTACATGGGCCGTGTTTTGAGTCGACTCAAAACACAAGTCATGGCTCCTACATGGGCCGTGTTTTGAGTCGACTCAAAACACAAGTCATGGCTCCTACATGGGCCGTGTTTTGAGTCGACTCAAAACACAAGTCATGGCTCCTACATGGGCCGTGTTTTGAGTCGACTCAAAACACAAGTCATGGCTCCTACATGGGCCGTGTTTTGAGTCGACTCAAAACACAAGTCATGGCTCCTACATGGGCCGTGTTTTGAGTCGACTCAAAACACAAGTCATGGCTCCTACATGGGCCGTGTTTTGAGTCGACTCAAAACACAAGTCATGGCTCCTACATGGGCCGTGTTTTGAGTCGACTCAAAACACAAGTCATGGCTCCTACATGGGCCGTGTTTTGAGTCGACTCAAAACACAAGTCATGGCTCCTACATGGGCCGTGTTTTGAGTCGACTCAAAACACAAGTCATGGCTCCTACATGGGCCGTGTTTTGAGTCGACTCAAAACACAAGTCATGGCTCCTACATGGGCCGTGTTTTGAGTCGACTCAAAACACAAGTCATGGCTCCTACATGGGCCGTGTTTTGAGTCGACTCAAAACACAAGTCATGGCTCCTACATGGGCCGTGTTTTGAGTCGACTCAAAACACAAGTCATGGCTCCTACATGGGCCGTGTTTTGAGTCGACTCAAAACACAAGTCATGGCTCCTACATGGGCCGTGTTTTGAGTCGACTCAAAACACAAGTCATGGCTCCTACATGGGCCGTGTTTTGAGTCGACTCAAAACACAAGTCATGGCTCCTACATGGGCCGTGTTTTGAGTCGACTCAAAACACAAGTCATGGCTCCTACATGGGCCGTGTTTTGAGTCGACTCAAAACACAAGTCATGGCTCCTACATGGGCCGTGTTTTGAGTCGACTCAAAACACAAGTCATGGCTCCTACATGGGCCGTGTTTTGAGTCGACTCAAAACACAAGTCATGGCTCCTACATGGGCCGTGTTTTGAGTCGACTCAAAACACAAGTCATGGCTCCTACATGGGCCGTGTTTTGAGTCGACTCAAAACACAAGTCATGGCTCCTACATGGGCCGTGTTTTGAGTCGACTCAAAACACAAGTCATGGCTCCTACATGGGCCGTGTTTTGAGTCGACTCAAAACACAAGTCATGGCTCCTACATGGGCCGTGTTTTGAGTCGACTCAAAACACAAGTCATGGCTCCTACATGGGCCGTGTTTTGAGTCGACTCAAAACACAAGTCATGGCTCCTACATGGGCCGTGTTTTGAGTCGACTCAAAACACAAGTCATGGCTCCTACATGGGCCGTGTTTTGAGTCGACTCAAAACACAAGTCATGGCTCCTACATGGGCCGTGTTTTGAGTCGACTCAAAACACAAGTCATGGCTCCTACATGGGCCGTGTTTTGAGTCGACTCAAAACACAAGTCATGGCTCCTACATGGGCCGTGTTTTGAGTCGACTCAAAACACAAGTCATGGCTCCTACATGGGCCGTGTTTTGAGTCGACTCAAAACACAAGTCATGGCTCCTACATGGGCCGT